TTAGATGGCATGGTTGTAAATCTCCCAATTTTCTTATTTTGATTTTTTTGAATCCCTTGAAGCACACAAATACATTTACTAATTAAATAACCCGTTTGTTAACCAGGACCGGGTATCATCGCCTCTGATTGCCATGCGCAAAAAGAGTGAAGAGGGCATGAGTAATAAGATAAATAAGACGCTATTTTGAATTATTTGTGTGACGTCAGATTGAGTCATTGGTAGATCGTCATCGCATCTTATTCCATGCACTCCTTGACACAAAGCGAAGAAATGAGAGAAAAGGGAGGCAGATTAGTACCTTTAGCTCTGTATTTTCATATTCTGATTAGAAATAATTTGCGGGTAGGATTGGGCAAAATGGGATTTTCGGCTCATAGCTGTTCTCTCTTTTTGTACAGGCCATACGCGCAGCCCGCGGAGAGTGCGCAGGGTGTGTGCTGCGCGTCACTCCTTTCTCCTCGTGCACTTTCGCCGTTTGTTTTCTCTGCGCCTCTTCCAGCCATGAACTATCTTGAGTAGACGCAACAGCGTCGCTTTCGGAGCGTAGCGCGGACGGCTTACAGTGAAACTCGCTTAGAAAATTCATAAAAAATAGACGTCCGGCAAAACATCAGGTACTATTACATTTTCCTTAACATGATAGAAGTGTAGTACGGGCCTTTGACAAACTCTGATTACACAGCTTCGATTTGATTATTTTACAGACCTAACAAATTTTTCAACACGACTGAGTCTGTACTTTTGGTATCAGTTCAGGTATAGGGCATTCGAAAAATCGTAACGATTTCGCGACTGCGCCGACACGCACGCGTTTCCAGCAACTGCATTTTCTTGGTTTTTATCTCATCTCGAATGGTTTTTCTGCTTACATATGATAGTATTCAGATACTGGAAGTGACTGAGCTGAGCGCTGAGGTGATGCCTGTTCGTTTTTGCTTCTGTGTGTGCAAACTGTTTCCAGCCACCACCGATTACGCTCTGTGACATTCGCTTTTGCACAGATAACCCTAATTTTCAAGCAGTACGAATATTTGTGGTGGAACGCAGCGCATCTACCGTCGAACAGGGGCAAAGCCATCTTCAGTTCACTATATAGTCAGTAGCCCGCACTAGACTAGTGTGAAGGATATCAATGAGTTTTATCCAAAATGTCCTGCTACTTGTAGCGGCATCGAGCCCACATAGTGATAGCCATGATAATAAATCACTGTTGTTCATACAATCCGTGTCAACCTTGTATTCCATTTTCCGCCAGCCAAATCGCAGCTCAGAGCCTTGCGTCGCGTTCGCTCGCGTACAGCTGCGCACTCAAAACTCGCCTTACCAATCGAGATCGCCGCGTTGGACGTTTATGATGCAGACGCGTAGCTGCTACGGAAAAGGGAGTACGTTTTTGACATCAATTGTACGTGATTTCAAGAGTATATCCACTCCGTTCAAGGGTTTTTCACGCCAGAAATGTCATTCTCAAAATAGCATTGCAACTCGAATGCAAACAATGTAAAGGGTATTCGAAAAATCGTGACGATGGCGCGATCGCGCGCGACACGTACGCACCTCACGACAACCGCATTTTCTAAGTTTTCTTCTCTCCTCGGATGGTTTTTCTGCTTACGTATGACAGTATTTAGACACTGGAAGAGAGCTGAGAGTTGAGGTGATGCCGTTCTGTATGAGTGTTTTCTGCACCTGTGGGCTCAAAGACCGCAGTCAAATCCGTCGTCACGATTTTACAAACGGCCTGTAATTCTCTAGATTAGCACATTAACGCTCAAACATCGCCGTCGTCTTCCGAACTTATGCTGCCTACCGACTAGTAAGTTTTCTCGCTTCATGATAGACAAGCGCTCGCCTATCCTAATGCTCAGAGGTCTACCCGTTACTCCACCGCACTGTTCTGCAATACAGGGTTGGGGAAAAGTGCTTGAACACGGTATTTTTATCGTAATAATGAAGCTAGATAAGATGATTACATGGAATCAATGGATAATGTTTACTCAACTGTCTGTTACACAAAATTAACTTTTCAAAGATTCCTCGTTTGACGCGAACACAAGCTCGGAAACGCTCGGAAACGCTGTCCATGGTGGCACGGAGGTGCCCCACATCGACTTTCAGAGCATATCGCAGAGACTCCACAATCTTGCGTATGTGGGCGCAGGCTTTGGCCTAGAATGACCACCTGCGGTAGTTGAGAGTATTCAGATCCGGCCAATACGGAAGCCATTTTGCAGGAATAATGAACACCTTGATGTTGCTTTGGAGATGCTTGAACAACCTTCGCTTTGTGATAAGATGATTACATGAAATTAATAGATAATGCTGTTGCGCAGGTGCGCTATCCTGCTGGGAACACCAATCGCTCCTGGCAAAATGGGTATTGGTCCAGGCCAACAATTCCTTCCTCAGGATGCTATCCACATGCATAGCAGTGTCCATCTTGATGTCCTGGGACATGAAAATCAGCGGCATCTTGCTGTCGGAAGCGGTCGCCGCGCAAATCATTGCAGAAGTCGGATAAAGCTTTCTTTTGCAAGTCAACCCTTGCTATTAACTTCTGGGTGACGGAGGTGATGATTTTGTTGCTTTGACAATCAGGTGATGATTCTGTTGCTTTGACAATTAAAAGCTTTTTCACAGTGAGAATTTTGACTTCAGAAAAGAGTATTGGCGTGTCATGGAGAGACGTTCAACAGTCGATGCCCTCTGCGCAGTCAGTTCAGCGCTTCGTGTCCTCCCAAAATACATAAAATTTTGGCATCCTGAAAAGCTTCATCCCAGGGTCTTGTTATACTATGTCGGAAACTGTCCTGCCAAAGATGGACAGCTCTGAAGCCAGCTCAATCAAGCTTCGCCGAGGATTGCGACGATGGCATTGGCGAACGATCTACGGATTTTTGTTGGTGTCCGCAGTAGTCAATTTACCACTCCTACAACAGTCCTGGGCGCTGTTCATATTCGAAACAAGGTGGATCTGAAGCTGATCTGTCTGGTCAGCGAACCTCTTCTCGTGCATTTTCACCACCAGCGCTCGCTCCATTTCAGGAGGCATATCTCCGACAGGAAAAAAGCTAATGCTTCAGTTTTTGGAGGGCTTCTACTCAAGAGTATATAATACAAATACACATAATCAGCATACAAAAATATGTGGAAAATTCGAACATACAAGGACATCAAAAATTGTTTAAGGACTTCCCCCAACCGTGTACATGCATTCAATTGAAAAACAAATCTCGATTTGGCGGCATATCTAATACGTGTAAGGGCTAGTATCTTCTCTTCTAAGTGCTGCTACCCTTGGTCTGCGTCTCTGGCCTGCGGCACTGGACAATATGTTGGCAACATGCAGCAACATGTTGGTGCTGAGGCTGACAGTCAAAATATTCTGCCAACATATTGTTGCATGTTGCAATGTTGTTGTCGTTGCCAACATGTTAGCCGTGAATGCCGCAGGTGCGAGACGCAGACGAGAGTAGCAGAAACTGTGGAAGGGACGATATCTTAGCCAGATTGGACTCCTGCTCGTTTCACTACTGTTTTGAATAGCTTTGTGATCTGTAAAAGCTGTGCTTGCCGCAAGTAGCCGTAAGGACAGAACCAAAAACTAGAGGGACTGACTCCTATTCAACAATTGAACAGTCTGTCGAGACGCAGACTAAGAGATGGTCCCAATTTTTCATCTGATGTTCGGAAAGTAACGCTCCGAAAACGAGTCGAAGTTGAGTGTAAATTGTACAACTGCCATTCACACATCAATTTCTGAAATCGATCAACAGCATTTTTCCTGCCCGCAGTCAGTGACAACAAATGGTAAATGGGCAACCTTGATGACGATAATGGTAGCAGCAGCAACCTCCTGCACTCAAACGAAGCAGCGATGAAGAAAATGGTACATGGGCAACTTTGATGACGATTACCTACTCTTGAGCCATGGTCAAGGACGAAAGCTCGGGACGAGCTTTACTATGGAATGGACATGTCGAGACGCAGACTAAGAGATGGTCCGACAGTCCTCACCCCAACTGGGCGGTGCCCAGCAACTCCAGATGAGCTGTGCCTAACCGGGTGACCGGCGGCTTCCCTTCCCCTCTTTTACCTTACATATATATAATAAAGATTCTAGTCATAAATGTTATGTTCATACAAAGTAAGACAATAAGGGTGAAGGATTCAAGTCAGGAGAGTGCACCTCCTGGACTTGACAAGTCTACCGAGATCTGTCTTACGTCAGAGATCGAGTGTCAGAAATGCTGCCGCATTTGCCAGATAGAACAAAAGAAAGATGAGCACTTCATGGTCTTTGCTGACAACCAGTGGACCAGACTAGAGCTGTAAAGGACTGAGTACTAGTGAAGATCCGCAGAAGAGGCCAATGCACCGCTCGATGTTCGTGTTTGTTTCCCAACGAAAACTTTCAAATAACTGTTCTTGATGCGATATGTAAGGCCCCGGACAGACTCCACGCGATTTGATCGTCGCGATTCAGTCGCCGAGATTTCCATCCATTTTCATTTCACATTCAAAAATTTCGGGCTGGAAAAGTATCACAACCGAAATGCAAGTTGATCGGCATGGAATGATGTTGTAACAGTTGTCTCGTCGCGATTCGTCACGATGATCAAATCGCGTGGAATCTGTCCGGGGCCTAAGGTGAATAGTCGCCGCGATTAGGCGATCGGAGACTTTACTGGCATCCATTTTTGTTAGACAAAGACCAATGCTGAATAATGGTGGAAGTTATTATGTGTACGCACCACGCTTCACCTCCATTAATCTTGCAGCTCTCGTTTAAGTTTTTAAATTATGTCAGACTGCCGATCAAGACTTATACTTCGTGACCTCTAGTGTTGCAAAAGGCTACGAAGTCACAGCATATGAACAGCTCATAAGCCAAAGTATTGGAAAACCCATCATGGGCATAAATTTCATTTCCTTGTCCCTACACAACGAACAAAACTTCAAAATATAACAATTTTATCAATAACAACAAACAACATTTAGAAACGCAACTTCGTAAAGAACCATTTGTTCTTGCCGGTTTTGTAGCGTTCCTCAAACTTTGACTTGATTTCGGCAAGTGCGCACCTCTTCTTTTTGGGGATTTTCAATGACTCCTACAAAGATCAGATTTGAGAATAAAAGCAAGAAAAGATTAAATGTTACCTTATTGATGTTAGCCTTATCGAAAGCAACATCTACAGAGTATCGCGTAGGGAGGAGGTGACTGTAGGAAACGACCTTCACAAACGGCTTCAACTTATTTCGTTTTTCTTGTTTCTTTTTTCCCATGCTTTTCGTGACCTTCAATGATAATATCAAGTCAAACACTATATCAAGCGCAACATACCTTCAATGGGTACTTGTCGATACCAGCAATGATAGCATGAGGATACGCCCTATCAGCACCGCCTTCATCTTGAGCTTTTACAACAAGGGCTTTCCTACCGGCATACTTTCCTCGAAGGACAAGGACAACCTTGCCTGGCTTCATAATTTTACCCATGCTGATCCTGCAATGTTTGGCGAGCTGAAGGACTCTCAACAGAACAAAATTGCTTCACATCAAAGAATAAAGACTTGCGATATGAATGGCAGGACCAAAGCAGAACAGGAAACATACTAAGATAACTTTTATTTTATACAACTGTACAACTCAATGTGAGGAAACATATACTCTTCGCAATTTCTCTTTCTTATTCTTGTTGAAATGTCGTTTATCATTCTTCTCTGCCAATGTAGGATCAACAGTGGTCCCCGTTGGCAGCGCAGACTTATTATGCTTTGAACATTTGATGTGAGCGGCACCCTTTTCTTCCTCGAAAAACCTCGCATCCAGTTCTCTGTTCGCAGCGCCTTCACCTTCAAGCAATCCTCGCCTCTCAAGTTGTTCCAGTTGAACTCGACCTGATCCTGACTTCTCAGCATCGGCAGGATAAAGATGACTGTTAAATTCTTCTTGGTCGACACCTGGCGGACATGCGACCCATCGTAGCTTTCCAGCAACGACGTCTTTGATAAGAAATCGTGCAGCACGGGAACAATCCGGGACTCCTGCTGCTGACATAAATCCTCGCATGAACGCTAGAGACGTGAGGAGGTTCAATGCAGAAGGCTTTGATCCTTCTGGTAACATGATCGAGTAAGTTCGTTCAAAGTATGATACTGGTACCCGAGACATCAACAAAGAAATAGGTCCAAAATATTCACGCATTTGATCAGCTGGGAGTATACCTGCAAAGATAATTGATGAGTGCGGAAGTAGTAACTTCTGCGACATTCCACCGCGACATTGCCCAGTGAATAGAGAAAAGTGTTTTTTTTTCAAAAAAAAAACAGTTACATATTGAATTTTGCGGTCGCAATTCAGTTTCAAAGTGCCTACAGAAACACAAGTAAGCGCAGTGTTTCAAAATCAGCAGATGGAGAAAAAACAGTACAGTTTGCCCACAAGACTCCAAAAATAATAATTGCTCAAAGATTTTAGAAAAAGATGTGGTTATTTTCGGAGTTTACCGAAAAGTGATGAAATGACCAATGTATTACCACAAGAATACAAGCAAACTGATACCTCAGCACTAACGTCATTTAAATAAACTGAGTTAGCCAGATTAAACAGCAAGCCAGATACGAACACGATCAACCGCAAAGATGATTTCAGTAACAAGAAAAAGCAACTTTGCACTTGTCTATTGGAAAAAATTGTGACTTTAAAGTCGACTTGCACTTTGATTATTTTAGCAGAAAAAACTTCTAGATTCACATCTACACTAAGAGTTTGCTTTCGACAAGATAAGCGCGTAGGTAGTCAACATGGTAGCTTCCCAAAGCAATAAGCAAGAATAACAAGAAACTTTCAAAGTTCGACACTTTGATCTCAACCTGCGGTCTGCACAATCGAAAAAGAAAAGAAGCGAAAACTGACCATTCAAGAACATTTCGTTTCTTCCAAAAGTAAATGATGGCATTACAAGACCGGGACAATCGCATAAACAGAGCTGTAAGTGCAATTTTCGAACACTTAACATTACAAACACTCAATACAAAATTAAATCATTCTTAAACTGCTCACCTGACTATCTATATGGATTGTCTGAAAATGCCGCGTTTTGCCAGGCGTAGCAGAAACTGACACCTTTTTCTCTCCAGCCAGTTTATTAATTGTTGAGCTCTTGCCAACATTTGGATATCCGACCATTCCAACGACTACAGGTTTAGCACCGGGTGTGTCAGAAGCATGCCCAATGTCTTTTAAGTACTGTATCATCTGTTCACGTGTTCTCAAGTACATTTGCCCATTCACAGATGTTGCAGTGGACGGCGTAGCCTCACATTCCATGTCACCTTCGTGAGTAGTATCCTCGAGCGCAGACCTTTAAAATTATGAGTCATATGCTACAATTAGGTACACAGGGGAACACAAAATATGTACAAATAAGATGAAACAAAATAATCCACAATGTTGCGAGGAGTCTAAAAAAATTCAAAAAAAAACAAAGCTTGGACTCACCAGAAAACCGCGTTTATTTTATTCTCTGTGAAGTAGTTTGCCCATTGGATAAGATGGTATTCTTCCAGGAGATCAGCTTTATTGACAAGCAGAAGAATTTGCTTGGCAGCATCTACTTCTTTCACGTATGCATCAAGATCTTTGCTTCGAAAAAGTAGTGGGTTACGTGCATCCACAATCTATAAATGCCAAACTAGTAGATAAAACAGAGAAAACAACAATAACAATATAGTATTCAATGAGAAGTAATAGTAGAAAACTGCTACGAAAAAAAAACTTGTATATATAACGAAAAAAACAAAAGAAGTATACACACCGAAAAACAAAGTCTTTGTAATAGAACGAGTAACGAGTAAATCAAAGTGAAGTGATGTACCTGGACAACGATATCGCTGCGTTCGACAACTCGCCACAATTCTCTCCACATATCCGGATTTCTCTCGAAAGGTGTTAACGCAAGACCATCATGCTGAAACCGTATTTCTAAGCCTGAAAGAACTCAAAAATCTACCAAAGCCCATACCTCTTGCAACTCTGAAAGATCCGATCTCCACTTCAGAAACGCTTCATTCTCCTGCTTTGTCAATTCCTCTGGAGTATTCCAAAGATCTTTGTGAGGCCTTCGTGGAATTCTCAGTTTGTGCTCAAATTGCTTTTGCAATTCAATGTTGTCCTCATACTGTACACGAGAGGGAATGACTAGCGCCGATTGCCTGAAATAGCTGCATGGATCACAAGAAAATCGGGTCCTAAACATCAAAAAAATTTACGTAAAGATAATGAAGAAAAAAAGATAAATGAGAAAGTAAACTTGAAGTTGATAACACAATAAGCAGCGAATATAAATGAACGACGCACCAAATACTAACTTCTCAACAACTCGAATTTGTTCCCGTTCTGCTGTGAACTCCGTTCCAGCAAGCTGTGCTTTTGCCAAAAATTCTTCGAGACTTGTTTCATCAGTGATGGAGTCAATGTACTTCTTTGCTTCCTAAACGATGACAAACAATTATACCTTCACTAGTTTCAACTGCTGCGACAGCCAAGAAAACACTCACAGCTTCCAAAAATGCCGGATTTTCGATTTCTTCGGCGTCGTATTTAGATCGCTGATGAGCTTTTCGCACTTTATCGCGTTGATTTGTAAGTGAATTCCCAAGAGATGTATTCACTCCTGTCGGTTTTTTGTTAGATGGACGGCGTTTTGTCATATCAAAGAGATCTGCAACATAACTTGAAGCAAACAGCAGTGATTTTAGCAAAAACAGAGAGAACTCCAGTTTTACTGCAGAATTAGGCGATGCAGGACATCACAAGACTGTTTAGCCATCAATAATCATAGCAAAAAGCTCAATTTGTTAAATTACATAAATAAAACTAATTTTGGGAGTTCAAAGGATATCGAAGTTGTCTGCGATTACGGTAGGAATGCGAAGTCGTGCCAGGATCGTTTACCAACAGTGGTTGTGTACCTTCAATATGATTGGGGAATTTTTCAAGATGTCGGCCATTTTTTTCTTTCTTCTTCTTGTACCTGACAGAACACTCGCCATTTGTGATTTTTAACGTCTCGGCTATTAGAATCTGGGAGCGGATGAGGAGACTAGGAGGACGAGGATCCAAAGACAAGGTTTCGGGGAACTGTGGGATCTTGTCTCTATTTTTTGTACAAATTAAAGAAAGGGGTGGAAGAAAAACGTCGTTCATTTCACACTTTTACGATTAACAACAGACACTTTAATCACGTGTTACCAGAAATGTTCCTTTTTTCTTTTTCCAGATTTTTCTTTCTGCTCATTTCATTTCTCTTTTCGTCGTCGCTCGCTAGAATGAATTTGTTGAGGCTATACCTAGAACTGCAGAAAATTATCCGCATTCAAACAGTGTCGTTAAAATACATTGCGTTTATTTCGCGCTGCTCAGAGATTTTTTGAAACAAGCAAGAAGCAAGGTACTCAAAACAGCAGGAGAAACTGAATTATTTCGTTAATGTTTCTAGTTTTTTGTACTTTTTGTAGAACTTATCTAACCAGCGCAGAGTATACTTTATATTTTTCACGCGTTCCTCTAAGAGCGAATATTGTAGAGCTTTTTCATAGTTACTACCCTGCAAGCAAGATGTTTCAATTATCAGTTCACTTTCGTTCCGGCGTTACGAGATCTGCTGATAGATGAATGCAAGTTCAAAATCCGAGTCCCCTGAGCTTCTTCTCTGTTAATGGGTAAGGCTCGATGCTGTTATTCGAGCGGCACGCGTATGATTCATTGGTGACCTAAAAACTCTACAAGGTTTTGCTCAAACCGTACGCTGACTGATTCCATGAAAGAAGGATAGTCTGAAAAGGTATTTACCTTTGGCCATGAATGCATCATAAGAGACCTGCTTTGGCAAAAGTCTAGTTATCTCTGTCATCCACAGAAGAATCTCATGTGCTTACAACAGATTCTCCTGGATGGTGCTAAACGTCTTCCCTTCCAAGTCAAGCTCTTAACCACTGTGCGTCAGTACGAAAATCGAATTCGATTTTGTATAGTTTTGGACCTATGATGAAAAGCCGGAAGTGCATGACGTGTAACTTCATGGACAATTTCAAATTTTTTCTGATCATAACACCTTGATGTTTTCATCCATATTTTTCATGTTGTGGCTAAGATAGACCTCAGATTTTATTTTTACAGAAGACCAGCTCCATGCTGGGGCAACTCTTGCGCACTGCTCTTCCGACTCGAATCAGCTTGCGATACAACTGTCCATGGCATCGAAACAACTTCCGCCCATGCTTCTTCCCTTTCAAAATGCACGAGAAGCTCAATAAGGACACTATCGAAGCTCGAACGAAAACACGCGGAGGACGATTGATGTTGATGAGAAGAGTTCTGAGGGAGCAGCCGTTCCTCGGATACGTGACGCGACCGCCAAAACCCACCAAACTCTCTTTCCCATTGTGATGTTTCATTTTCTTTTCGAGATCCAGTACAGTAAACATAGTAGATTATTTCAGTTATTGTACAAACATACAAACATTCAATCTTGCAAAGTAATCAATTCAATCCTCTTCTTTACTTTCGGTGCCGGGTCGATGTTGTTGTCACATTTCTTTCTGAAAAAGGTGAATTAACAACTGCTGGGGGCGAGGTTCACCTTCGAGTACGCTTCAAAACTGTACACGGACTTTGGGAAATGGAAAATGTGCTCTACAGTGCTGTGTAAACATGAGAACTGTTTCTGATTCTAACGTCTGTGTACGGTAACAAAATGCAGTCTTAAGTGAAGAACAACTTGGGAGGGTTACTGTCATTTTTATAAATCGACAGTTTACTTACCGTGATGGCGTAGTAGGACTCCCGGGTGCGCTAGCATGAGGTGAATCATCTCCCTTTGTCTGGAGATAACGGAATATGTTACCCGATTTTGGAGTAGTGGTGGCTGTTTGCTGTGCTGGTCGCAATGGAGTCTTTTGAGAGGGAGCGCCAGGAGATTCGGCAGCTTCCTCTTTAGTCTCTGTAAAGCATCTGTTTACTGAGAAACTGTTAGATGCTACAGACAACATTGATAATGGTATACATAATAAGATTTTAGTATAACTATTAAAAAGCCTCCAAGGTATATCAGAACGGAAAGCAATGACTTAGCGTAGACCTACCTTTGACCTTCTTCTCTCTGGGCTTTCGCTTCTTGGTCTGAATAAGCTGCGGAGAAGGCGGACACTCTTGCGCATCTTCGTGTTTGATCTGAACAAAGGCAGAAAGTAAATCATCCAAACTAGACCGAAGTGAAAACAAACCTGGCATCCCCATTTATCTACAGTGAGTTTCAAAAATGTGCAGTAGCCTTCAAGCGAAGATATAACAATATTTTTTCCATCAGCACTCCAGGTAGCATCGGTTAGACTATTATATTGAATATTTTCTACAAGACCGATTGGATTACGATGCTGACTGTCGTAAAAATAAACACTATCCTTTGTGAGTGCCAACCACAAAATTCGATAAGGTAAGCTGAAAGAAAATGCAGAGGTGAAGAGCAGCATTTAAAGGCGCACTTACCCTGTGTAATTCTCCTCTTCTTTTTCAAGAGTCATTAGTAATGGACAGCAGCGAATGAGGAAAGTAGGCTTAGGACAAGGTAAAAAGGCAAGCGGTTTATCACTAGAAGATGTGATTGAAAAATAAGAAGAAATGAAGAAATTTATAAAAATTTACTGTTCTAGATCACTTCTTCTAAATATATATGTGCCAAAGATATCATGCGTGTGTACCTCCAAATCGGCGCCTAGGAAGAAAGGTTATTGAAATGTACATAGGAAAATAGACGTACATGGTGCAATGATTAGTTGTCCACATGGTGAGAATGCCACCCCTCTCTGGAAACTCATCAACTGATCATCATGGAAAAGTTTGTACACCTAAAAAGAATGGGATCGACGACTGTCATCCAGACAGCGTCAAATGTACCTTATGCTCCAAGGTGACATCACCGATAGCAACTTCAGGCAAAGCACATACGCCGAAGGCTCGTAACCTGGTACCTTTCACAGCGTCTATGAGGTCCATTTTACGATCGGTGGACATCGTCACGATGTATTTTCCTTTTGGGTCCCATGCCACCCCACTAGGAAAATGTCGCAGTTTTCGTATAGAAACACAGCGTTTCCCTAAAGTAACAGAAAATGTAGCTTCCTCCAGCGGATATAACAGAATCTTACCTGTAATCACGTCATGCACGAACAATGATTCATCATTCGAGACTGAGGCGAGAAGTTTGCCATCTGGACTCCAAGCAAGGTTCGAAACTTCGCTGTCGTGATTCAATACCTGAGATGACATGCACGAAATGAATCAAATGTAGCTTTCTTAGATATGGACCGAAATAACAAGAAACTGAAATGAATTAATAACGAGACCAACAAAAAGAATTTTCTGAAAACGCCGAGAAGGCATACTTCAAAGCAGCAGAATTACTGATTTTCATCAAGATGCAGGCGTTAGAAGAGAAGGAGTGTTGAGAAGCAGGTAAACATTAACTAAGAAGATAAAACTTCTCTAAATATTTACTCAATATCCAAAAAGCAAAAATTAATATGAGTTAAGAATAATTATGTCATAATTTAATGTGGAAATGGTTTAGACTAACCCGCAACCTTATCCAGTTCTCCTTATTCGGTGGTAAATCGTCAACTGGTGGTGCTACACTGGGTGTATCGGACAACTGCCATACTGCAATGCGTCCATCGGAGTCGCCAGAAGCCAACAAGTTGACTGCAAAAAGAACTTTCTGCGCGCTTTAGTATTCAAAATAAGCTTACCTTCTGGATTGTGGCTAAATTTAGCTTGGTTAACAGCGACATTATGCCCAGAAAGGTTGGCTAGAAATGTTACGGCTAGTTGGAATTTTGAAGGCACTTTGATACATTGTTCGTATTCAAATCGCCAAATTCGCACCTGGAAGGACTGTAACATTTGTGGATGCTAATAAGTTTGTGAAATTGCACTTTGACGGTCCTGATGCTGTACATTCCATAAGAAAGGCATCTTGAGCTACGAGTCTTTCTTTTCGCTATTTTGAGGCGGTCAAAGCTTCGAGAACAATTCAAATAACGTAGAAATCCGCAGCCGATAGAAATTCACCAGACCGTATAGCATTCTAGCATCTTTTCTATTCTCATACTTCTATATAGCTCGAAATAAAAATATTAGATTTGTTTCCAGTTGTCATTCTGAGTGAAACAAAGAAAGCGAGGAAAAAGTAAATGAAAGCAAAAAGAATACCTCTTTTTGAACGCTGGCAGTGACGATCCTGTATGCCCCATTATCTACTACTGGATGGAAATCCACAGATAATAGAGCTTTCCTGTCATGCCAGAATATTTCTGGCATATAATGCTCCATGATTCCCTGAAATTTGATAAATTCACTGAAAATCAGCACTTTTCTATGGACGCAATTCGGCACTTCATGCACGGAAACGTATTTTGAGTACAAAGATATGATTTTCGCTAAAATTTAAATATTTTGCACAGTTTGCATTGAAAATAGAGGACATATTAAATGTGGCTCATGAATTTCCCAGAGCAATAAACATGAAAGTAGAGCAATCAGTTGTTGAAAAGAGCTCGTAAATTTCAGAGATACGTGTTCGAAATTTCCATTTTCGCGCATTTGATGTTTGTTTGGAGCGCAAAAGCTATCAGAATTTCGTGGACAGATTGGCGTCGCGCGCGCAA